CCGTACAAAGCTGGCGCGGCGTTGTCTGAGTATAGAGAAGAGATAAGAGAGAGGTGGCGGGTTACAATTGTATCAACATGAAGCTGCGCGCCGTGATCTGAGATAGAGAGAGAGATAGAGAGAGGGTGGATGTAACATGTATCACAAAGCTGCGGGGTGTTGTCTGAGATAGGAGAGAGATAGAAGAGGAGAGGTGGCGGTTACAATGTATCAGCAAAGCGTGCGCGGCGTGTCTGAGAATAGAGAGAGAGATGAGGAGAGGTGGGCCGGTTAACCAATGCTATACAAAGCTGCGAGGCGGTGTGTCTGAGATAGAGAGAGATAGAGGAGCGGGGAGTAGGGTGCGTTAACAATGTATCGCAACAAAGCTGCGCGGCTGTGTCTGAGATACGAGTAGAGATCGAGAGAGAGAGGTGGTGGTTACACAATGTATCAGCAAAGAGCTGCGCAGGCGTGTCGTGAGATAGAGAAGAGAGATAAGAGAAAGGTGGCGATTAAACATGTATACAAGAGAAGCTGCGCGCGCGTTTTGTCTGAGATAGAGAGAGAGATAGAGAGAGCTGGCGTTTAAACACATAGTATCAACCATAAGCTGGCGGGTGTGTCTGAGATAGAGAGGAGATAGAGAGGAGGTGGCGTTACAGATGTATGCACAAAAGCTGCGCGGTGTGTCTGAGGATAGAGAGAGAATGTAGAAGAGAGGGTGTGGTTAAGCATGTATACACAAAGCGCGCAGGCGTGTCTGAGATAGAGAGAGAGATAGAGAAAGGCTGGCGATTAAAACATGTATCACAAAGCATGCGCGGCGTTACTGCAGATAGAGAGAGAGTATGAGAGAGAGGTGGCGGTAACAATGTATGCACAAAAGCGCGGCGGACGTGTCTGAGATAGAGAGGAGAGATAGAAGAGATGTGGCGGTCTAACAATGTATCCAACAGCAAGCTGCGTGGCGTGTCTGAGATAGAGGAGAGAGATAGAGAGAAGGTGGCGTTAACAATGTATCTACAAAGCTGCGGCGGGCCGTGTCTGAAGTAGAGCGAGATAGATGAGAGGTGGCGGTTATACACTAATGTATCACCAAAGCTAATGCGCGGCGTGTCTGAGATAGAGAGAGAGATAGAGAAGAGGGTGGCAATTAACCAATGTATCACAAGAAGCTGCGCGGCGTTTGGTCTGAGATAGAGAGAGAGATATTAGAGAGTGGCGGTTAAACATGGTATCACAAAGCTGAGTCGCGGGCGTGTCTGAGCTAGAGAAGCGATAGAGAAAGGTGGCGATTAAAACAATGGTATGAGAAAGCTGCAGCGCGTGTTCTGAGATAGAGAGAGAGATAGAGAGAGGTGGTGGTTAACAATGTATGCACAAAGCTGCGCCGGGCGTGTCTGAGATATGAGAGAGGAGATAAGAGAGAGGTGGCGGTTCACAATCAGTATTCACAACGCTGCGCGGCGTGTCTTGGAGATAGAGAGAGAGTAGAGCGGAGGTGGTAGTTTAACAATGTATACAAAGCTGCGCTTTGGCGTGTCTGAAATAGAGAGAAGAGATAGAGAGAGATGGTGGTTACGAATGTCTCACATAAGCTGCGCGCGTGTCTGAGATAGAGAGAGAGATAGAGAGGAGGTGGGATTAACAATGTTATCACACAAGACTCGCCGCGCGTGATCTGAGAGTAGAGAGAGATATAGAGAGGTGGCGATTAGAACAATGTATCAGCAAAGCTGCGGCGCGTGCTCTGAGATGCAGGAGAGAGAGATAGAAGAGAGGTGGCGATTAACAATGTCTCACAAAGTGCGGCGGGCGTGTCTGAGATTAGGAGAGATGTGCGCGTTAACATGTACTCACACAGCTTGCGCGGCGTGTCTGAGATAGAGAGAAATAGAGAAAGAGAGGTGGCGGTTTAACATGAATGTATCCACAAAGCTGCGCTGGGCGTGTCTGAGATAGAGGAAGAGATAGAGAGAGGTGGCGGTTTAACAATGTATCAGAGAAGGCTGCGCGGCGTGTCTGAGAGTAAGAAGAGAGAGAGAGAGAGAGTGGCGATTAAGCATGTATGCACAAAGCTGACGCGCGTGTCTGAGATAGGAGAGAGAGACTAGAGAGAGGTGTGTTGCAAGTTAACAACGCTGCGTGGCGTGTTCTGATAGAGAGAGATAGAGAGGAGGTGGGGTTTACAATGTTCACAAAGCTGCAGCGGCGTCTGTGAGGATAGAGAGAGAGATAAGAGAGAGGTGGCGATTAACAATGTCTAGCACAAGTAAGCTGCGCGCATGTCTGAGATAGAGAGAGATAGAGAGAAAGGTGGCCGGTTACAATGTTCACAAATGCTTGGCGCGCGTGTCGAGATAGAGAAGAGATAGAGAGAGGTGGCGATTATACAATGCTAATGCACAAAGCTGCGCGCGCGTGCTCTGAGATAGAGGAGAGGATAGAGAGAGGTGGCGGTTTTGTAAACAATCGATATCAAAAGTGCGGCAGGCGTGTCCATTGGGAAGATAGAGAAGAGATAGAAGAAGGTGGCGATTAAAACAATGTAATCACAAGCTGCGGCTGCGTGTCTGAGATGAGAGAGACTTTAGAGAAGAGGTGGTGGTTAAGGCAATAGTATCACAAGCTGCGCCGGCGTGTCTGAGATAGGAGAGAGATAGAGAGAGGGTGGTGGTTAACCTGTATCAGCAAACTGCGGCGTTTGTCTGAGATAGAGAGAGATAGAGAGAGGATGTTGTGTTAACAATGTATACAAAGCTGCGCGCGTGTCTGAGATAGGAGAGAGAGAGATAGAGAGAGGGGTGGGCGGTTCCAATGGTATCAGCAAAGCTGCGGCGCGTGTCCTGAAGATAGAGAGAGATAGAGAGAGGTGGTGGTTAACAATGTATCACAAAGCTGCGCGGCGTGTCTGAGATAGAGAGAGAGATAGAGAGAGGTGGCGGGTTAGGTAGCAATGTATACAAAGCTGCGCGGCGTGTCTGAGATAGAGAGAGAGATAGAGAGAGGTAGCGGTTAAAACAATGTATCACAAAGCTGCGCGGCGTGTCTGAGATAGAGAGAGATAGAGAGAGGTGGCGGTTAACGACAATGAAAACAAAAACGACGACGACAACAATGCAACAATGTAATAACGCGACAACGCAACAATGCAACCCTATCCTATCCTACAGCAACGGCAACAGTGAAATAATGCAACGATGCAATGCTCTAACCATAATATTATACCCTACAGCAGTGGTAACGATACAACAATCTAACCCTTACCCACCCTACAGCAACTGTAACAATGCAATCATCTAACGCTACCCTACACTACCCTAACCATACGCTTCCCTTCCCTAACCTACCTTAACCATACCATAGTCTACTGTATCCTACACTATCCACCCTACTACCCTTTCTTGTCAACCCTAACCTACCATAACCATACTCTCCCCTACCCTACCCGAACCATACTCTCCCATACCCTACCCTAACCATACTCTCCCATACCCTACCCTAACCATACTCTCCCCTATCCTACCCTAACCATACTCTCCCATACCCTACCCTAACCATACTCTCTCCTACCCTACCCTAACCATACTCTCTCCTACCCTACCCTAACCATACTCTCCCCTACCCTACCCTAACCATACTCTCCCCTACCCTACCCTTACCATACTCTCCCATACCCTACCCTAACCATACCCTCCCCTACCCTACCATAACCATACTCTCCCATACCCTACCCTAACCATACTCTCTCCTACCCTACCCTAACCATACTCTCTCCTACCCTACCCTAACCATACTCTCCCCTACCCTACCCTAACCATACTCTCCCCTACCCTACCC